AGGCAGTATAGCGGTGTTGGTGCCCTAATGACTAAACAACAGGTGTGGATTGAAGGTGGAGACTTGTGTAACTTCCTGTGTACACCTGGGTAATGGCGTCTCTCTCTCTCTCTCTCTCTCTCTCTCTCTCTCTCTCTCTCTCTCTCTCTCTCTCACACACACAATACTCACCGTGATAAACCACACAATATCCACAATACTCAATACCATCAAAATACCACAATACCCACAATACTCACAATGCTCACACAATGCCACACAATGCTCACACAATACTACAATACCCACACAATACCCACACAATACTCACACAATGCCCACACAATACTCACACAATGCTCACACAATACTCACACAATACTCAGGGTAGATCACAGTTTTTGCGTGTGTACTGTATGCCTCTCGTGGTTCCAGAGGCGATTTTAACTATACGCCACCGATATCGCCAATTAATATTCGCCAATTCCAGTAATTTTGATCCATTGATTTAATTAAAACCCGTGAAAAATTGTGTTGGTGGATTGGTGGATATATTTGATAATCCTCCTCGGGGTGTTATTGTCGATGGTAATTGTATGGTGGTTGTAGTGGTTGTTGTGTTGGTGGTGATTGTTGTTGTGGTGGTGGTTGTTGTGGTGGTGGTGGTGGTAGTAGTAGTGGTTGTTGTTGTGGTGGTGGGTGTTGTGGTGGTGGTTGTTGTGGTGGTGGTTGTTGTTGTTGTTGTTGTTGTTGTTGTTGTTGTTGTTGTTGTTGTTGTTGTGGTGGTGGTGGTTGTTGTTGTTGTTGTTGTGCTGGTGACTTATTGGATAGTGTGGAATTAAGGTGTGTGTGTGTGGAGCTACTCATCCATGATTGAGAGAGAGAGAGAGAGAGAGAGAATTATTAAAACAAAAATAAATCTTAAATCAAATCCACAATTCCTGAAACAATATGGAAAACAACACTAAGAAAAAATCACCTATGCCTCAAACTATAGTATTTCCACTACAGTCGATCAGCACCAGAGTGTTTCGTTCGTCTTGGGATCAAATACAATATCTGCCAAGGGTGAGTGACCAGTGTAAACACAGCCTTAAAACTTTCTCTCGTTGTAAAAGGAAAGTTTAGAAAGAAAGGGAACAATGCATGGAGGAGAAAGTACCTTATTTAAGACCGTCTCTGAGAAGCTTTACAGAATACAATCTCTAGTTGGAACGTTAGAAAAAAGAAAGTGTGTGTGTGTGTGTGTGTGTGTGTGTGTGTGTGTGTGTGTGTGTGTGTGTGTGTGTGTGTGTGTGTGTGTATAACTATCATCATCTATCTACCTATTCTCCTTTTACCTTTACATTCTTTACATTACTCAATGTCTCTGTAACTTTCTTTCTCAACTTTCTTTTCTTATCCGTTTCCTTCATAAATTTATTCGTGTTCCAATTAGTTATTATTATATTTTCTCTTCTATATTCTCTTCTCGTTTGGGTTTCAGTTTAATCTTCTCTCCTTGTATCTTATTTTTATCACCTATTTTGGCTATTATCTTTTATTCGTCATTTTATTTCTTATTTGATTTAGTTTCAACGTCACAAAAATTTCATTCATTGGGGAGTAAATATATTTTGACAGTTCTCATAATTATCGACGTTGTGAATGGCCAAGGAAGGTGACGCCAACGACCAATCACACACGAGATTAATCGTTACCCAGCTACCAATGAACGACGACACTAACAAGGTCTAGTTAGTCCTCTCCGGGTGATTCGTCTCCTTAATAACACCTTGAGACATCTCCCGTGGGTGTCTCATCAGCTCGGGTCAAGAGGGTGTTTGGGAGGGCTAATGAGAACACCTGTGGGAGATGAGAGAGATATGTGTCTCCCTTGGTGTGTTAGGTGGTACTGAGAGATGGGAAGGATGAGGTGAGAGAGAAGGAGAAAGAGGAGAGAGAGGGGGGAGAAAGAGGAAGAAGAGAAGATGGAGGAGACGGAGGAAGAGGAATTAGAGAAGGCGGAGGAGAAGTAGACGAAGAAAGAGTAGGAAGAGAAGGAAGAAGAAACTGAATTAAATTTAACACACACACACACACACGCACACACACACACACACACACACACACACACACACAATTACGTCAATCTTAAGTGAGTCGGATCCGCTGTTACATCTTGCACTTAGGGGGAGAGAAAATTTAACATAAGAACCTTTGAGGATTAGAACACAAGATTAACACCGGGTTGACTTCAAGAGATGGATTAAATTAGCGCCTTTAAGGATCTGTCGACTGTTGCTGTTTTATTAAGGATTTTACCGGATATTTACCTGTGTGCTTGTTGATAGCTTACCTGAACTGAAGCCTTAATTAGAGAATACTGTATGTGGGGAAATACACATATATACTAATGTAGGTTAGAGATATACAGTTAATGTTGTGTAGGGGTTAGAGATATACAGTTAATGTTGTGTAGGGGTTAGAGATATACAGTTAATGTTGTGTAGGGGTTAGAGATATATAGTTAATGTTGTGTAGGGGTTAGTATACTCGTATGTAAGTGGCCTGGGCTCAGTTCCCAAGGTAAGAGAGTGAAGTTTTGTCGTGTTGGTATTCGTTGTGTTTTTAATTTGTTTACAAGAGGAGTTTGATGTTAGGGTGTATTTTTTTGGTACCATTTCGCCTCGCCTCGTCTCGTCTCGTCTCGTCCCGCCTCTTCTCGCCTCGCCTCGTCTCGTTTCGCCTCGCCTCGTCTCGTCTCGTCTCGCCTCTTCTCGCCTCGCCTCTTCTCGTCTCGCCTCTTCTCGCCTCGCCTCACCTCGCCTCGTCTCGTCGCGTCTCGCCTCTTCTCGTCTCGCCTCGCCTCGTCTCGTCTCGCCTCTTCTCGCCTCGCCTCACCTCGCCTCGTCTCGTCTCGTCTCGTCTCTTCTCGTCTCGCCTCTTCTCGCCTCGTCTCGTCTCGTCTCGCCTCGCCTCGTCTCGTCTCGTCTCGCCTCTTCTCGTCTCGCCTCTTCTCGTCTCGCCTCGTCTCGTCTCGTCTCGCCTCTTCTCGTCTCGCCTCTTCTCGTCTCGTCTCGCCTCTTGCTTCCGCCTCATCTCATCTCGTCTCATCTCATCTCGCCTCATCTCGCCTCTTCTCATCTCCTTACTCTTCTCATCTCGCCTCCACCTCGCCTCATCTCGCCTCGTCTCATCTCGCCTCTTCCTTACCTCGCCTCATCTCATCTCATCTCATCTCGTCTCGCCTCTTCTCGTCTGCCTCTTCTCCCGTCTCGTCTCACCTATCTCCCTCACCCCCTCTCCTCTCCACCAACACAACAGTCAGAAGAGCACAAAATAAAACTCTTACCTGCCCTGGTTACCTGCCCTGGTTACCTGCCCTGGTTACCTGCCCTGGTTACCTGCCCTGGTTACCTGTTTACTTAAGCTAATGTGTGTTGTTTGAGGCCCCGTGTACATAGTGTTTACGTAACTCACTTAACCTTTGTATGTATGTGTGTGTGTGTGTGTGTGTGTGTGTGTGTGTGTGTGTGTGTGTGTGTGTATGATAACCTTTGTGTGTGTATAGTAACCTGTGTGTGTGTGTGTGTTTATTTAGCAGATATTGAAGATTAACCCCACAGTTTATTTCACCAGATAATAAATTCCTAACCTAACCTAACCTAAGCTAACCTAACCTAACCTAACCCAGCAACTTAATTTCGACAAAGTTTCAGACGGACACATGCAGTTTCTAGTGGGGGTAAAAGTAATAGTTGTAATTATGACAGTAGTGAGCTGGCTGGACTAATTATAAACTTGCTGCGGGTAATTAGCATTTTTAATTAAGGTTATATACAGTAAATGTATTTAAAAGTTGTAATAGCGAAATGTGTATTAGTATATGAGGGTCGTGTGTGTGTGTGTGTGTGTGTGTGTGTGTGTGTGTGTGTGGATTTATGGAAAATATATTAGCATAAGTAATAAACTGAAAGATCTGTCTGTCTGTCTGTCTGTCTGTCTGTCTGTCTGTCTGTCTAACTACCATCATTAACCACTAACCACCCACCACGCCTAACGACAGTGCTTTCCTCCGACAGTACCAGTGACGGCAGTGACGGCAGTAAGAGACGGGACAGCGGCACTCCCCTGTGAAGTGTCTCACCCTTCAGACGATGACATCATTCTCCTACTATGGTTTAGGGAGCCACTTACTACCCCAATATATAGGTAAGTACCCCTAACTTCCCTAAAATATATAGGAAAGTACTTATAACTTCCCTTAATTATAATGGTAAGTGCCCCTAATTACCCTTTAATTTATAATAAAGTGCCTCTACATTTACCCTTAATTATAATGGTAAGTGCCCCTAATTACCCTTTAATTTATAATAAGTACCTCTAATTACCCTTAAATATATAGGTAAGTACCTCTAACAAATTATCAAAATTTACAAAAGCTAACAAAAAATATATTCAAAATTAAAAAATAAATAAATAATTTTTTTTTTAAATAACCAAATTAAAAAAACCCTAAAATGAATGAAAATTATTATACCGTTAAAAACCAACAAATAGTCTAACATCAGTACTAATGCTGCCGTCTACTGTGTGTGTAGATATATAGTATATATAATAAATTACCATAGGCTAATTACCGTAGGCTAATTACTATAGACTAAATACCATAGATTAATTACCTTAGACTAATTACCATAGACCATTTAACATAGACTAAATACCATCGATTAATTACCTTAGACTAATTACCATAGACTAAATACCGTAGACTAATTACTTTAGAGCAATTACCATAGACTAATTACTATAGACTAATTACCATAGACCAATTACCATAGACTAATTACTATAGACTAATTACCATAGACAAATTACTATAGACTAATTACCATAGACCAATTACCATAGACTAATTACTATAGACTAATTACCATAGATTAATTAATTATCTACAAGGTACTATAATTTGCATAATATAACAGTAGTATATATAATTCTTTCACTAATACTAGACCTACGGGTTATTCAATAATTTGCATATAGATTTTAGCTTAGCATTTAAATCACTCAGGAACATCTGAAGAAATTAACAAAAATAGACATAGGGAGGAAAGGAGTTGGGGGGGGGGGCGAGGTTGGTGTAGTGGGGTGAAATTTTGAGAGAGAGAGAGAGATAGAGAGAGAGATAGTTTTCATTAATTATTGGGACCTCTTAATCCCTTCGTGTCTCTCTCTCTCTCTCTACCTTTAAAGGAATCTCAACTGTAACAAAATCCTTTATATCAAAGACGTACAAAATTATCCTTCCCCCCTCTTAGGTGGATATCTCATCAATTTCACCTGGAGAGACAGCGAAGGTCTCTCCAGGATCTTGCTAAATAAGACAAGAGACTCCCCCATATCTCTTCAGTTTCTTCTTGTATCATTATTGAATTGTGATATGTAATTAATCCGTGTGTGTATGTGTGTGTATGTACTTTAACTTGTGTCTGTCTGTATGTATGTTTGTGTATGTATTTATCGATTTAAAGGTTCGTATATACATCCATGACTATATATATATACAGGGTGATTCAGCAAAGAGTACATTAAATTGGAGGATGGAATCTTTGTATAATTCTAAACCACAATGTCTCTTTGGTAAAATGTCAGATTCTGCATAGTTTCCATGTTACAATACATTTAAGATGTTGAATCATCCTCACACCTTAACACACACACACACACACACACACACACACACACACACACACACACACACACACACACACACACACACACACACACACCCCCAATTCTCTAACTCTCAGAACCAGATCATTCCAAACTCAGCACTACTTAACCTCAGATTCAAATGAACTAAGTTAATCACCTGAGTTAATTACCTGAGTTAATTACCTGAGTTAATTTTATGTTATTCCGTCTCTCTAAAGTTGAGGAATAAGACAGTGAAGTAATTTGTCTGTTAAAATAAATTCTGTCTTATCTGCCTAACTTTTCACAGATACAGTAATATGGTATCTGTTTGAGTGCGCCAGAGTGTGTAGAGTGTGTTGAGTGATTCTGTCTTGGTAGTGTAGAGTGTGTTGAGTGATTCTGTCTTGGTAGTGTTGAGTGTGTTGAGTGATTCTGTCTTGGTAGTGTTGAGTGTGTTGAGTGATTCTGTCTTGGTAGTGTAGAGTGTGTTGAGTGATTCTGTCTTGGTAGTGTAGAATGTGTTGAGTGATTCTGTCTTGGTAGTGTAGAGTGTGTTGAGTGATTCTGTCTTGGTAGTGTAGAGTGTGTTGAGTGATTCTGTCTTGGTAGTGTAGAGTGTGTTGAGTGATTCTGTCTTGGTAGTGTAGAGTGTGTTGAGTGTGTTGCTGTAGATCCTGTAATTTGTTGGATTATGTCATTTAATATTGTATCGAGGCGATAATTCCGATAGCATATTTTTATCCCTTTATCATAAGGGCTAAGAGGGGTATTAACATCATCTGTCTGCCTGTCTGTCCGTCTGTCTGTCTGTCCGTCTGTCCGTCCGTCTGTCTGTCTGTCTGTCTGTCCGTCTGTCTGTCCGTCCGTCCGTCTGTCTGTCTGTCCGTCCTACGAAAGTTATCATAAAAAGTTGTATAATTATTTATGAACCACCGTGACCCACCCATGTGTGTGTGTGTTCCCTTCTTTCCACACACACACACACACACACACACACACACACACACACACACCCTGAAGCCACCTAGGAACCGTCAACAATAGGCCGTCATCACACTGCAGGAAGCCTCGACGCCGGAACCCTACCAGCACCCAGCGAGGTTCATGTGTGTTGTGATGGTGAAGCCTTCGTGATGAGGCTTCAGAAACACTATTGACTGACTGAAGCAGATAGACAAACAGATGCGAAAAACACACATAACATTAATAGATGGACATACATACATACATACATACATACATACATACATACATACATACATACATACATACATACATACATACAGATAGTGAGAGACAGAGAAAGAAAGACAGACAGTGAAGCAGATAAGAGAGAGACAGAAAGGGTGTAGACAGACAGACAGACAGACCACAGACAGACAGACAGACAGACAGACCACAGACAGACAGACAGACAGACAGACCACAGACAGACAGACAGACAGAGATGAATGGTTTTAATGACATAGACACATTCAGTACAACACAGGAAGATGCTGTACAACACACTCGGCTAAATTGGACACGCGAGGAGACAAAGAGATATATTACGAGGTCTGATATTAAGGCCGGGTTCGGTTCTGGGTTCGGTAATGGGTTCAGTTCTGGGTTCAGTAATGGGTTCAGTTCTGGGTTCAGTAATGGGTTTGGTTCTGGGTTCAGTAATGGGTTCGGTAATGGGTTGAGTTCTGGGTTCAGTTCTGGGTTCAGTTCTGGGTTCAGTTCTGGGTTCAGTTCTGGGTTCAGTTCTGGGTTCAGTAATGGGTTCAGTATGGGTTGAGTTCTGGGTTCAGTTCTGGGTTCAGTTCTGGGTTCAGTTCTGGGTTCAGTTCTGGGTTCGGTATCGGGTATTAGTGAGACTTTCTGCTACCGAATCCCATCACTACTCTTCCCTTAATCGTCATTCCGTAACCTAATCTAACCTAGGTTAAGAGAGAGAGACGCCTTTCCAATTTTCGTCACATGAAAAAATTTCCTCATTTGACAGTCATAAAGAAAACACACACACACACACACACACACACACACACACACACACACACCCCATGCATGACACCAGCAAGGAGACAATTCAGGATCTTCCGACTGACGTGATTGAGTATTGATCTCTGAGGCGGCGACCACCACCCGGCCTCTTAACCTAACCTAACCTAACCACCCGGCCTCTTAACCTAACCTAATCACCCGTGCATCTTAACCTAACCTAACCTAACCACCCGTCATCTTAACCTAACCTAACCACCCGGCCTCTTAACCTACCTAACCACCCGTCATCTTAACCTAACCTAACCACCCGGCCTCTAACCTAACCTAACCACCCGTCATCTTAACCTAACCTAACCTAACCTAACCTCCAGTCCTCTTAACCTAACCTAACCACCCGTCATCTTAACCTAACTAACCTAACCTAACCTAACCTATCAAGTTCAGAAGGCCTTTAAAGGGTGAATTATTATAGCGTTACTAATACAGACAGACAGACAGACAGACAGACAGACAGACAGACAGATAGACAGATAGATAGATAGATAGATAGATAGATGATGCATATAGAGACAGAGAGACAGTCATAAATAGATTAATATTCAGCAAAATACCCACACAGGATTACGATAATTGATTCAACATATATATTGACATTACAGGTATACATAGACCGTATAGCTATATAACGTGCATGTATGTATCATTTATTAATACATAATACACGGGAGACTGGTGCTGTGTGTGTGTGTGTGTTTGCGTGTGCGTGTGTGTGTGTGTGTTTGCGTGTGCGTTATGGACGAAAGTTGATGACCGCAAGTAGTTTTTCCCGTCGCCTGGGGTCACTTAAGTGTCTCACATGATCATCTCCTTTTCCTACCCCTCCTTTCTTCCTCCTCCTTCCCCCCCCTCCTCCTTTCTTCCTTGCTTCCTCCCTCCTCATCCCCTTCCTTCCTACTCCTTGACCCTACCTCTTCCTCTTTCTTCTCCACCTCCTCCTCCTCTCCCTCTTCCTCCTCCTTCCCTCCTCCTTTCTTCCTTGCTTCCTCCCTCCTCATCCCCTTCCTTCGTACTCCTTGACCCCACCTCCTCCTCTTTCTTCTCCACCTCCCTCCTCTCCTCTCCTCCTTCCCTCCTCCTTTCTTCTTGCTTCCCCCTCCTCATCCCCTTCCTTCCTACTCCTTGACCCCACCTCTTCCTCTTTCTTCTCCCACCTCCTCCTCCTCCTCCTATGGCCGCCACAGTTCACCAACCACAGACCGCTAAATCACCACAGCACATATGACTTGCCGAAAGGTTTTGAACATTTGAACAGAATTTAAAGCGGCATCTATCGTGAGCCAGACCTTCCTGTTCAATGACTCTCTCCCTCACTCATTATTTAGGGTGTAGTCTCAGTGCAATATCGATGCCATTTTCTTTTTTGTTCTTTGAGTCGAAATGCTGTTTTTAGGGAGAATATTTTTAAAGTAACTTAACCTGACTTAATCTAACCAAACCTAACCTAATCTAATTTAACATACATACTT